TCAACAGAATAACTCCATGCAATGCAAGGACATAAAACAACTTAACTGATAACATCTGGCCTAAAAGGCAACTCGAGTCCCAAAATAGAATATTTACATATATACATAGATGAGAGACTCAATACTAACTGACTGACTGTCTATGAAGCCTCTATAACACTGAGATGGATGTTGGGACAGACCTTGCAACATCCTAATAAATCAAAACTAAAGAACATAAAATCACCGAGTCCTCCGGAATGCAAGGAGGCTCACCACTGACTCTGGAGTGCTTAGCTGGATCAACGGCATACTGGATGCTGGTCCTCGGTACCTGTGTCTGTATCGTAATAAGATGCAGGTTAACTGGCATCAGTACATTGAATGTACGAGTATGCGATCTGGAAAACTAAGCAACATAGGCTAGAAGGAAATCTAGAAGAAACTGAATAGCTTAGCTGGCTCAACTCAACTCAACTTGACTGACTCTTTTCAATATAAGGCAATTTAAAACAAGTGCGATGAAGAAAGGTTGTTTAAAACCTGTTATAAACTCTGTGTGTATACAAAGATACAATAAACCTGAAATGTATGTAGAAATACAAATGAACTGATGTATATAAAAATACAATAATTGTTGTGTGTATACAAAGATACAATAACTTATGTGGGAGTTTCTCTAACCGACAACCATCACATAAGAGCTATAATGATGATACAGCGATCAACCTCACGCTGCCAGAGCATCCTATACCCGGCCAAAGGTGTAGGACCTGAACTTCCTAATGGATCCACTAGTCTAATCTGAAAAGGATTCATCTAAAAAGTATGAACCTCTTCTACCCATGATGGCTACATGGTTCTATGGGGGCTGTGGGTTCTTTGAACGCTCCCCCAATTCGGTGCTCGATACTACTCCCAAAAATGTACTGGCTTTTATATTTTTAAATCATATGTCTTCCTGCTGATTTGAGATAATTACTCAAAAACTTAGCTCAAAGGCTATCTTGGAAATCTCAGTTTCCTCTCTTGCTTCATTTAGAAAGCAATTACTCTTTTCTGGAAAACTAGCTCGAAGGCTCTTTCGAAATCTCAGTTTCCAATCTTGTTTAAATGTGAAAATATTTCTTTAAAACTTCTTTGGGAATACTTAGTTCCGTAATAACTTTTGAGAAATGAACTCAACTTTATACTCTTGACTTAACTTGAAACTCTATACTCTTTGCTTGACTTGAAACTTGAGCCTTAAAATGAAGTTAACACGTTCAATAAAGACTCTTGAACAACTTTAAAGACTTGCTTGGACTTACTTCTTAACTTCTAAGATTGAATCTAACTTCACTTGACTTTGATCCAAACTTTCCTCGAATTGAATTATGGATTCAAGGTATATGATCACATGCTTATGGATGAGTTCTTGACGTTTAGATGTACCTTGGAGTGTGGAAAACGACTATAAAACAAAGGTACATTACCAAGGAACATGTATGAAAAAGTAGAGAATGAAAGGGAAAACTTGGTGTCTTTGGCGCTCTGAGAGGCGCGGAGCACCAGCCCTCAAGCTTCAGAAGGGCCTGCTGGGCACTCTTCTAGGCGCGCCGCCCCAAGGGATGGGCTTTAGAGCCCCTTTTGGGGCGCGCTGACTGGCGCGACGTCCCAGCCCTTTTCCCCGAAAATATGACTTTTCTCTTTCTTTTTCCCCACTCTAAACCTTCTAAACTTCAAAATTTCCAGCCCCAAACACTTAGAATCATAAAACCCCTCAACATACACTAGATTCAACTCAAAATCACAACTGGAAACATGTCCCAAAACAACAAGGAACTTCAACAACACAACCAACTACTTCAACACACACAACCACAAACTTCAACAACACAACCAATCTTTTCTCAGATATTAAAATGAGTTTGGCGTGTGGGGGAAAGAACCAATCCAACACTATGATCTCACATACCTTAATAGGGATCACCCCCGACGAAATCCACGACGATCTCTACGAAGTTGCTTCTTCTTCTCCTTTCTCCTCTTCTCTCATTTTCTATCAAGAACCCTAACTCTCACTTTAAAAAGGAAAAACTGATTTAAAATCAGTCTAACACCTTAATATATATCCAAAAGAAAAGGCTAGGGAAAAGACCAATATACCCTTACAAAATCGGGTTAACTGCCCTGCCAACAGCCCAACTTCCAAAGGGCATAACTCCCTCATACAAACTCGGAATCGGGCAAACTCGGCGGCATTGGAAAAACCATTCCACGAACTTTGCAAACATAACTAGAACTACACCTAACTCATCCTGAGCTAGGAGTTATAACTGTTCAAAGTTGGCCAAAAACTCACTTTTTCCCATACTTCACCAAATTTTCCAGATTTTTAACTCCTTCCAAAAATGACTATTTCCAATTCTAAGCCTCTTCATAGTTATTTCAAATTGCCGGATGTTACATAGCAGACAAACATATATAACATAAACAAAAAATAAACGACCATCACCTACCTCAAAACAAGAATGGATGATCTTAAGAACTTGAGCTTTTCCCCTTTGTAATGCCTTGTCATTTTCTTTTCTTAAATTGTTACTAAACACAACAATCAATGAACAAGTCTCCTAATTAAAATAGATTATTACTTTATCCTATTCTTAGGGAAATTACATGATAATTAAAAATTGAACCACAATCAAGGGGAGTAATTAACTAACCTTCACTGAAGAAATTTGTGGAAAAATTAATGAAAATTGCCCAAAGTAGCATTTTCTTTTCCCAAAAACAAAGTTAAAGAATATTGAGAGGTTTTGGTACTTTTCCTACATTAATTTGTGACCGGCCTGTTATAGAGACCCAACCTACTATAACCCAACCTTCTATAGAAGCTCTGCCATAGTGGGAACCCACTATAGTGTATTGCATTGGACATAAATTCATAATTCTCCCAAAAAGCTCTCCTTTTGCAACACACCTTCGAACCTTGATGTTATAAACTAACCCTCTCATGCCATGTTTTATATTCAAAGTTCTACTTATCGGAATTTGATTCTGAAGATTCATACTGTTTCCTTAGTAGACATTTTACCAATCCATTCCTAAATTGCCCTAGACCGCGTGTTGCTCAGATTAAGTCTAAGATTAGCCAAGCCCAATATTTTCAAGTCATTATTCTAGAAATTTTCAAGCCCAAATTTTATCACCAAAGGATTACCTATAACGACCGAAAGGGATCGTTACAATAGATACCAATTTACCTATCGCTCATCCCCGAGAGATCAAACAAGAAAACTAGGTTAAGCTAAGAAGAAAGTACAACTGAATCTTCAAATAAGTGAGGGTACTTGCACCGCAGTCCAACTAGGTTTACCAAGTAGCTTCCTCCACCGGACGATGCCTCCATTGAATCTTAGCTGATTTTATTTCCTTTGTTGAACTTTTGAACATCCCAGCCAAGAATAGAAAACAAACCCTCTTTATACTACAAATCCTTGTGTAACACTATTGAGTCCCACAAAATAATATAATCTCCATTCCCGTGATACATCTTCAACATGGGCACATGAAAGACTGGATAAACTCCAAACAATTTGGGCAGCAATGCTAGATGGTAAGCCACTAGCCCCACACTATCAAAAATCTCAAATGGAACAATGTAACAAGGGCTAAACTTACCTTTCTTTCCAAGCCTCACCACTTTGTACATTTGTGACACTTTCAATAACACCTATTCACCAGCTTGGAATGTCATATCTCTTACCTTACGGTCTACATACCTTAAGGCTTCATACCACATGTCTCAAACCACCCTATGGGAGATCTATATCCCCTCTCATAGAGTGCCTTGAATGAACCATATCTTTGTTTGAGTGATAATTGTTGATATAGGTGAACTCACACAAAAGCGACAATTGATCCGAAGGAAGTCCAAAGTAAATCACACATGCTCTCAACATATCCTCTAGCACTTGAATCATCCTCTCCGACTGAGCATCCATATGGGATGAAAGGTTATGCTAAATGTGAGTTGAGTGCCTAACACTTCATGTAACTTAACCTAGAACTTAGAAGTAAACTGAGTGCCTTTGTTTGAGATGATAGAAGTCGGCACCCCATGCAACCTTACTATCTCCTTGACATAGATCGTAGAAAATTGGTGAGATTTATAATCAAACTTAACCGGAAGGAAATGGGCTGATTTAGTCAACTTATCAACAATAACCTAGATAGGACATACTTTCCCATGGTTTTGGGAAGACCCCCCACGAAGTCCTTGGCTATTTTTTCTCACTTCCATTCATAAATGAACATCTTTTATTGTAAACATGCATGACAATAGTGCTCATACTTCACCTGTTCAAATTTTTTACACTTAGACACATGCTCAACAATGTCTCTTTTAATTATGCACCATCAATAAAGCTTCCTATGGTCCCAATACATTTTGGTTACACCCTGATAGATCGAATACAGCAAACCAAAATACTCTTCAACACTTTCAGGATCAAGTCATCAACCCGGGTAACAAAAATTATCCCTCTAAGATTGATCACTTCACTTGTGTTCAATGTAGCATTAGTAGTCTCCACAAATATCACTGTGTTCCTCATCTTATTCAAATCTTCATCCTCAAATAGTTTAGCATTGATTTCCCCTATAAATATGGGCTTGAGCTCAAAACTAGCCAACACCCCACCCTTTTCTGAAATCGCTAGGTGCATGAACATAGTGTTGGTGTTTTTTAAAAATGGGGCAGCACAAAAAGATTGAAAATTTCTCTCAATGGATTGAAATGACTTTCAATAGTTTTCAATAATTTTATTAAGCATTGAGGGGCTTTAAATAGCCAATATAAAACACATAATCTGCATAATTTAAAATTTAAACAACCTAAAATATCTCAATAATTCAAACAACCTAACTAAAATTCAAAATTCAAATTCATCTTAAACTAATTAACTTATTTTGCTAAAAACAACAGCAGTAACTAAAAGCAAACTTCAACTCTCCTCCTTTGCTTTAAATACTGCAATTTAAAAAAGTTGCTCCTCCTCGATTTTTGCTTCTACAACTTGTGCTTGAAGATTGTTCTTCAGCTTGCATACTTTTGTAACATGACCGGCTTGTTTGCAATTTCCACATATTGCATCACGTCTCCACCAACAAAAAATTTCCAAGTGTGTTTTTGTTTTGCAGTATTTGCAAAGAGGATAATTACCTTTTTGTTTTCTGTTTTGTGCATAAAAGGCACCCTCAATAACATTATCTTGCCTGAAGGCTCTTCTCTGCTCATGTGCTTGAAGAACACTTATTAGTTCTTCAATAAAAATAGTAGAGAGATCTTTAGACTCTTCCAGAGATGAAATTTTAGATTTGAATCTCTCTGGAATTGTCACAAAAAAATTTTCTACTATTCTGTCATCTTTGAAATCCTCGCCAAGCAACCTGATTTTATTACCAATAAAAGAAATCTTGTCACAATACTTAACAATAGTTTCATCCTCTTGCATCCTAAGAGATTCAAAATGTCTTTCCAAATTCAAAACTTGCATTTGCCTAACTCGAACACTTCCTTGATATTTTTTTTGTAATTTTTCCCAAGCTTCTTTTGCCGTCTCACAAGCAATGATTTTAGAAAAGATCGAATCCACAACTGAATTTTGAATTACAGTTTTGGCTTTGGATTTTTTTATTTTGTCATCCGAATGAGATTTAATTTGAGCAAGGGTAGGATTTGCAGGTTGTAAGGGTACATCTTCCATTACAACTTCCCACAGATCATAGGCTTCAAGATATGATTTCATTTTCACTGACCAAATCTGATAGTTTTCCCCAGTGAAAATTTTTGAGGCATTCAAAGAGAGATTGTTGCTTGCCATTATTTTGGTTTAAAAAATGATTTAGAAAAGCCTGTGCATTGAAAAAAGCACCGGTTGAAAAGGTAGCCTTGATAGGTTAAAATAGGTAGCCCTGATGGGTTAAAAAGGTAGCCCTTACGGGTTAAAAATGTATGGTAGTTCTTTGGAAGATTTCACAGATCCCTTAAGATTAATGAAGATCTTGATACCACTGTTGGTGTTTTTTAAAAATGGGGCAGCACAAAAAGATTGAAAATTTCTCTCAATGGATTGAAATGACTTTCAATAGCATTCATGTCACGACTCGAGCCTACACCCTAGACTTGGCCAGCACTTGAAGACCATTGTTGGTCCCCAAGTGAACCCTCATCCTTGTTGACTACAAGCGGAAGACTAACTCAAGCTTGCAAAAGCTTAAAAATTGAACAAAATTCATGAAACTGAAATACAAAACTTTAACTCAAATGAAAAACTTTGAATATAAAAATAATATTCAACTCGCTATAAAATAGGCAACTTAAGCCTTTAAAACATTTAATAAAATAAATGAATAATACAGACTTCTCAACTATACTGACTATCTATGAAGCCTCTAACTGATAAAGATGGAAGTCGGGACAAGACCCACGACATCCTGACTAAACTGAAAAGTAAATGAAATCCTCTAAAAACAAGGAGGCTCACCATAGCTAACTCAAACTTCCGGATGTATCAGCGAAGCTCCTGTTGATGATCCTGAATACCTGTGTCTGCATCATGAGAAGATGCAGGCCAAATGGATTAGTACGTGGAATGTACGAGCATGTAAGAGGAATTCTAAAGCATAAACATAAGCTTGAAACTTGATAAAAAGGAAACACACTTACCTCTTCTCAAACTTACTCAACTCAAGGAATACTCAAGGATATTCAAAATTACTCAAACTTATTCAACTCAAAAGTACTCAAGGATAAGATACTCGACTTCAAAGATATGATCCTCGACTCAAAGATTAGATACTCAACTTCAAAGATATGATACTCGACTTGAAATACTCAACTCTAGATACTTAACTCATGAATACTTAACTAAACTCATTTCATTATAAAGCAGTTTAAAACAAGTGCAATATAAAGAAAAGGAAAGCTGTCCAAAACATGATGTTAACTCATAATCAAAATATCATAAAAACATACCATGCTCCCTCTCAAAATCTACTTGTGCAATGCATGAATGAAGTCTCATACCCCCATTCATACTAAGCAGAACCCCTTGAGGAACCATGCAATTACTGTTGTGGGAGTTTCTCTAATCGACAACCATCACTTAAGAACTATAGTGATGATACAGCGTTATTAGCCCCACGCTGCCCGGGACATCCTATACCTTGTCGTGGTATAGGACCTGAACTACTAAGTGGATCCACTAGTCTATGTGAAAAGGATTGATCTAAAAAGTATGACCCTTTTCTACCCATTATGGCTACATGGTTTTCATGGAGACTTGAGTTAATATGAAACTCGCATCCCCACATCGGTGCTCAATAATACTCCCAAAATATACATTATATTAGCTCTTTATGTTTAAAAACATACTTCTTCTGTGATTTGAGATTAGTGTTCAAAAACTTAGCTCAAAGGCTATCTTGGAAAAATCAACGTTCCCTCTCTTGCTTAATTGTGAAAGCGTTTACTCTTTTCTGAAAACTAGCTCAAAGACTCTTTGGAAATCAAGGTTTCTTTTTCTTGTTTAAATGTGAAAACATTGTCACTTTGGGAATACTTAGTTCCCATATAATCTTTTGAAGAAACTGAACTTCACTTTTACTCTTACTCAATTCATTGCTCAAGTCTTAAAACAAAGTTAAAACGTTTGTAAGGGACTTCTTAAAGTATGGTTCATGTCAAATTATGGACATGAACGATTCAATGCAAGGTTTTCAATAACCATAGATAGAACTCAAATACTTGGAACTCAAGAACTTCAATGATACTACTCATTTCAAGAATGCTCAACTCAAAGTTCATGCGGAATTATGAGCATGAACTACTCAACTCAAGGACTCAAAGATACTTCTCATCTCAAGATTGTTCGACTTATAATGTTCATGCGGAATTATGGGCATGAACAACTCAACTCATGGCCTTCATGGGTAATAGGTAATAGTCCCATGATTAGGATTATAATCTCGGAAGGGTTAGGAACTCGATACTCAAGACTTAGAACTTGAAGATATAGTCCTTTCAAAGATACTATACTGATGGAGTTCATGCGGAAGTTATGGGCATGAACGACTTGACTCAAGGGTCAAAATATCAATAAGGAACTCACGTATACGACTCTTCTCATTCTCATACTTACTTCTCAAAACTTAACTCAAATTGATGGTGGATCTCAAAGGATTCACAATTGAACTCAAAGACTTTCTTGAACTCTACTCTTAACCCTCTCTTGAATGTGAATTATGAATTCAAGAGTTCTGGTTCATGATACGAAAGATCTCATGATGACAAAATAGACTCATGAATACATTCTCCACTGTTGCCGGCGGCCACATCCCTTGGCCAGAAAAATCTCCAAAAGTTTTACCATTTCTTCCTTTCACCCTCCTCTACACAAATCCGTAAACCATTCATCCTTATCCATATCCAAACTTCATAGATCTAAGAAAAACCAAACACAAATCTTCACTTTTTTCTTTAGATTTATGAAGTTTCAATCATCCCCATTCTATACCATTTACATAAATGTGTAGAGCTCTTCAAGGTCTATCCTTTGATATAAATTTTATGTCCAAAATCCGTCAAAATAAATTTCGGCGAAGTTTTTCGGCGACCCCCATTCACCCAAAAATTTATGTCAATCTTCCCCCCCCCCCCCTCTCATCCTCTATCCAAATCCGTCATTATCACATTTTTTTAACCATATTAGTTGTTTTGGTGTTGGATTTGTATTGTTTTGTTAGTGTTCTTTAAGTTATATCATGTTGAAAGTTTTGTTTGCATTTTATTTTTTGAATTTTGTTTTGTTTTTTTATTTTTATTTTCTGCCTTATTTGTTGTGTTTGATCTTCAAAATAGTTTAGATGTTTGGATTTTGTGTTAGTAAACTGATTTTCTTTTAATTTTTGGGTCTTGATCAAATGGGTCTACATTTTGGGCCTATTTTAAATTTTCAGATGACCCATTTAGCTATTATTCAATTAATGAATAAAAGAAATGGGTCATCTAAAAGGCTTTTTAATTAGTCTTAAAAAGAAAAAAGAAAAAAAAAGAAATTTTATTGGCCATCTTGGGTGGCACATTGAGAAGGCAAAGAGTCCAATGCATGCATTGACTCTTAAGTTTTCAAGAAGAGTGAATGTTAATATTCACCATCTAAATCCATTCTTCTTTCATTTCAAAGGAAGGACAACCAAAAAAAAAAAAGGGAAGAGAAGAGGGAAAATTAGAAGAAGAAAAAATCATAAGAATAGAGAGTAGAAAGTCTTCTTCTAAAAAAAAAATTATCATTGTGTAAGTTTGTAGTTCAACTAATTTGCTTCCACTATTTGCTTGTCATCACATTTAGGTATTTCTTTTTACATTTCACAATGTAATCTTAAATTAATGTTTCATGTTCTTTTTATATTTTGATTAAGTTGTTTATAGTAAGTTTGTTTTGATTTAGTTAAGTCTATTGTGAATTTTATATGATTATGTTTTATTATTATGTACACATATGTTTATTACTAATATGGTGTTTAGTTTAATTTTACCTCATCGTAGGATTGATAAGTAAGCTCATGCTTTGCTAAAGAAAAAAATAACAATCTCAAAGTCATTTTTTTTTTGTTTCTGGTCACTAAAGGAAAAAAAAATGTTGTTTTTGCAAAAACAAAACACAAAATTGGTCATTTTTGCAAAAAAAATATAAATTTGGTCATTTTGAAATCCTATTTTAAAAAAAGAATATATAGAAATTTTTTTCTCTCTTAAATAAATATATGGAATGAGTTATAGAAACAAAAAATGCAAAATCGGCTACTTTTGGTTAGTAATTTAACTATTAGATAAAACTGGCTATAATTGCAATATGTGCCAATTTTGTGCAAAACTGAAAATTTCACTAAAATGGTTATTTCTGAAATTGTATCAATAGAAAAAAAAATTAGTATATCACTACTTGCTTTAAAGGGGGCATAGTCATTATTCTATTATTTTTTTTAAAATATACTTTTTTTCTTTTGTTGTTATTGTCAAGTAGTGATACTTAATATATATATTTGTTTTATTTATTTTTTAGAAAAAAAAATGTTAATTAGCAATTTGCAAAAAATAAATAAAAATAAAGATCATTTTCATTTCTATATGTTGCAACAAGTTCATTTATTCATTAATTTTTTTATTATTAAATAAAATTTGAGTCATTAATTATCAATCTTTTCTTTAAAAAAATAAAAATAAAATATCACCATGTGTTCGATTACGATCCTTGGTGTGTATTTTTTCTAAAAAAGGAGGTCTTGTGTACGGTTACGCTCCTAGGACAATTATTTTTTTTAAAAAAAATTAGCAACTAACACGAATTTACTTTTTTATCCAAAAAATTATTTTTAGCCAAACATGAGTTAATAAAGCTACCGTGCTAGAACCACGGGACTCGGGGGGTTCCTCACACCTTCCCCCCGGTCAATAGAATTCCTTACCCTATCTTAGTTTCGTAGACTAAAAAATAAAGAGTTATTTCCTTTTAAATTAGGATTTACCAGGTGACTTGGAACACCTAAAAAACTCAATTCCAAGTGGCAACTCTATAAAAAAAAAATCTTTTACTTTATTTTTAAAAAAAACCCATCACATCCTTAACTATTGAAAAAAATGAAGTGGTGTGACAACCTGAAAGGACTTCATAAGCCCGATGGGTACACAGAATACCTATTACTACTAAGAATAGGTCATGGTGAGTCCAGAGCCAAATGGTGCATAGGCCGGACCTCAAACTACAAATATATCTCCCAAAGAAACCATAGAGGACGTAGCTCGGACGTCGAACCACCGATA